CTTGGTGGTAGCACTTGAATGTATTGTGGTTCAGCGGGGGACCGTGACTTCGGGGAAACTTACTTCCTTCTTGCGCTACTCGGCTTCCGTCCTTTGGGGTTTCGAAGCGGGGGATCTTGATTTAGGTACAGGCCCACATGGTGCTTGGTGCTGGATGGGCTTAAAAGCCGCGAGAAGAACACTGTTCTCAAGTAAAAAAACGCATAGAGTTTCACGCTTCAACCGCTCTTTCGACGGCTCTGTCACAGTAAGGGCGCCCCAATGTTGCCTCAATTTTTGGAATTTGCAGGGACTGCAGAGGGACCATGCTGTTGAGCCCTGCCCCTTTTCCTTGGCGGACGGTGGGGAATGGATCCCTATAATAGTCCTCACATGAGCATCATAATCAATGATAGCAGTCCCTATACCCGTTATTTCAAAAGTCTCTACCAACCCTCTATGAGTTGAGTGTTCCAGATGATCAGAGGGAAGCTGAGGCAGCGCGTGGGCATGGAGGGCTGCCCTGGAGAGGAGCGCGTGTGGGGCTTCTCAAAACTGGGGTAGGGACCATATGTGCATCACAGAGGAACACCCACATCAGAGGAGGTTGTAGCGGGACAAGGCCCCTGTTGTCAAGATGGTGTGTGCGTCAAGACTCCGTATGTGCTTATGCTATGATGCATGAGTTTCCGGGAAGAGCCTGCAGAAATGCTACCTGGTCTTGTCGTGTTTGATGGAACAGAGCAAATGGATGTTTGTTTTACCGCAGCAAGTTCAAGGCTAAAGTCAGATCGTTGCAGCCCAGCAGCTCCGGTCCCGAGACAAGAGCAACAAAAGCAATGTCCATTTCTAGCAATCGGCAGCATTCCAAACGTGTAGTTCCATTTTCTTGTACAATGAAGATGCTTCAAAAGGGCTTGTACAGATTGCAGAAGGCTTCTCAGGGTCTCTATTCCAGAACATGTGCGGATGCTACAGAGGTTTTAGCTGGTGTGCGGCTGCACTCTCCCTCCTCTTGGTAAGCAGGAGCAAAAGGAGCGCCTTTGTGACGTTGAGCCAGAGGCCAGGTTGGGACATGGAAAGCAGGGTTATACGTAGGAGGATCTACAAAAATGTGGGTAGTCATAAATTCTACGTGGGATGATACTTATAGAGATGCACTAAGCTGGGGTAGCGGGTAGGCACGACCGTGCTCGTGTGGGTTGTTGCGGGGGATGCGCGGGGGTCGATGGCCGGTGGAAGAGGATCCCAGCAGAGCTCCCGGACTTTGAAGGCAGACTTACT